GCTCCTCGACCCTGAGCTTTCACTGGAAGCTCAAGTAACAGCAGCGGCGAGGAGCACTTTCCTCCAGCTTCGGCTGATTTATCAGCTGCGCCCCTACCTGGAGTACGACTGCCTTGCGACAGTGACACATGCGCTGGTGACTTCCCGTCTTGACTTCTGTAACGCGCTCTACGTGGGGCTACCCTTGAAGACGGTCCGGATACTTCAATTGGTTCAAAATAGAGCTGCCAGGTTGCTGACGGGGACTGGACGTTATGCTCACATGACTCCAGTTCTCCGTCAGCTTCACTGGCTTCCCATTGACGTCCGGGCCCAATTCAAGGTGTTGGTGATGACCTATAAAGCCCTAAACGGCATGGGTCCTGGTTACCTGAAGGAGTGCTTACATCCATATATGCCCAGCCGCCCCCTGAGATCGGTGGGAGAGGCCCTTCTCCGGGAGCCCTCCGTGAAAGAAATTAGGAGGGTGGCTACTCGGAGGAGGGCTTTCTCAGCGGTGGCGCCTAAGTTATGGAATGCGCTCCCCAGAGAGGTCCGCCTGGCGCCATCGTTATTTGTTTTTCGGAGCCAGGCGAAGACCTTTTTATTCAAGCAGCATTTTAAATGTTAATATTATTGAATGTTTCTGGCCAGGGCGGCTTATTTTATATTGTATATTCGTAATTTATTTTAATGTATATATTTTAAAATGTTATTTAACTTATTTGTTGTAAGCCGCCCCAAGGCTTCGGCGAATGGGGCGGCATAAAAATGTTTTAATAAATAAAATAAATAAAATAAAAAAATAGATGTGATAAGCCCTTTAAATGAAAGGTGGTATTTCAGAGAATGGCAATTAGAAGCTCCTGCTTTAAAAAGTAGCCAGAGTTTCTTACTGATTAGTTTGCATGTTAAAAATATGTTTTTGTAAACCAGAGGCAAGCGGGCTTCCAAACAATCACGCTTGCCAAGTTAAGGATACTCTGTTCCTGGACTGCTTATTATGAGCCCTGAAATTTGGAAGTTGTTGTGGGAGAAACAACACAGATTTCTAACTTCAGAACCATGCATTTTACAAGCCTCACTGTTTCACCCCACTATCTGATGCACATCTCACACATCTCACAAAAAGCCTATTGTAAAGTTGTAACACCAGAGCTTTTAAAATGCTACAGCAAACATAAAACCAAATGATCCAAAATTATCCAGAAGGCATTCTTCAAATTTACACTCCAGTGCTATTTATGTACTCACAATCATAGATCTTTCTGAAACACATACAAAAATAGAAACAAAAAACCAACAAGCAAATGTTGCCCATGTCTTGGGTTTCTTTTGCCAGTTTTTCTATCGTAATATACAAAATGATTACATGGAAATTTAAGTTTTAGATGAAGTCTCTCTATAAGCTCATGCCTAAGTCAGCCTCTTGAACTACTTCAGGACAAGTGAACAATTTTTAAAACAAGTAACCACAATGCTTCTCACTGTATTAACTTCTATGAGAAGCTATTACTTATTACAGTTCTACACCCCTACATTTTTCAGAAACCTGCTTTCCCCCACATTCCCCCAGCCACCCATCAGAAATCCTTACACTGACAGCTGGAATTGATCCTGTATAATGGAACCATTACGATTTAAATTTCTGGTTTCAAAATGAAATGAACACTCCAAATGAACAATGACCTATCTCTGGTCACTCTACAAAGTGTTCCAAACCCATTTGCATAGGTTCAAGATAATTTTGTGCCTTCTGGGACCATTCATGAATATAATCATTTTGCCTTATTGAGGAAAACTCAGCCTGAAGCTAAGCTGCACAAAGATTTACTATATAGCCTGAGGAAAAGCCTAAGGTCCTCAAAATAGATTGGTAATATATCACTTACATAGAGCTGATTGTAGAAAGTTTGGGAATTACATGATTTAAACGTTACAGACATAAAACCAGAATAACTGCAGACTAACCCAATGACAGTATTCATTCCGCTCCATTGGCTTCAACCAGCTTTCAATCATTTGCTGTTCTTCAGAAATTGGTTAGTTAATTTGAGATTTTTTCAAAGGCTGGTTAATTTGGGATTTACTCCCAGCCAAGATCACACTCAGACACTTTAATAACAGTGGTGAGTCTAATATACAACCATGTTTTTGTTTGGTTTTAAAAGCTCAGGCATTTGACTGTAACATTGTTTAAGCAGCATTTCTGATGTTGTTTTAATGTATGCTGCCTTCAGAGTTTTACTGAAAGATTGTCTAAAAACTACTTAAAATGTTACTTCTGCCTTATTAACTATATACATGCACACATATGTAGAACAGGAAAAATGCAAAGATTTAAAGGCAAGTTAAACAGTCACACCTAAATACTAAGTATTTTAGATGATACAACTTCTGTTTTACCTTAAGGAGATTTGTCAAGTAATTCTTCAGGAATTCTTTAAGCCGCTTGTATAGCTCCAAGCCAACAAACTGAGCTCCTCCAGGTGTTTGGCCTTTTTTAGACTTCGAAGTAGGTACACCAGCTCCTCGTGCTTGATTGGATTGATGCACACTTGTGCAGTAGTTATAAACATGACTGATAGAAAGTTAAGGAATATTGCACATACAACAAGTCATAATCAATAAACAAGCCTAGAATCAATACTTAAATTAAAATTAAAGGGCATTTATATAAGCACTTTCAAATGTTCAAAGTTCTTCACATTACATCAGGCTGGATAAACAATCATACTTCGAACAGATCCATACTTCGAACATAAACGCAATTTAACTGAATAATTTAAGTTCTGTTGATTTCAATGGGTCTGATCTAAGTATGTCGAAGTCTAGACCCAACCCAATCTTTTAATCCTTTAATCCAGGGAATATGTAACATTTTTGCAAAGTGCATGAAACTAAAGTCAGCCCCAGAATCAACCATGGCTTCTACATGCAGGAGTTCACCTTGCAAGAGGAAAAGTTGAACTGGAATCAAGGAGATTGGGTGTGGTAGGTTGCAATGGGTGACCTGTTTCCCTGATGTTGCGCTTTAGCAGGTCAGGCAGATGTATGATGTCCTTTCTAGCCACAGTAAATATGAAGATCCAGGGCTTGTTGCAGCTTCTTCTCAGTTTTTGTCAGCAGATGCCAGGATCATCAGTCTGCAAAGGTTCAGGACTGGTCACCCATCCCAAGAAAGTTCTGCTGGAATTTGCCTGATACACCATTCTGCATTTCCATCACTCAGGTGATTGTGCATGTTAATACAAATAATAATGAAGATAACACAGTGGCAGAAGGGCCTCAGGCCACCGGCCTGAAGGACTGATAAGGCCACTCTCAGCCACTGCAAGCCCTTTTGCCTCTGGCTTCTTGGCAGAGCAGCAGAGGCACAGGCTGGGAGAGAGTGCTGAGTGGCCAGGGGACTGGCGAAGGCAAGGTAGGAGCTGGGCGGGGGAGCAGAGGGCCAGGAGCAGCAGAGAATAAGGGGGCGGGGCCAGGGGGGCTAGAGGGGCCAGGAGGAAGCGGACAGGTGGGGCCACCTGCCTGAGGAACTGATAAGGCGTCCTTCCTTGTCTGTGTCCCTTAGCTGTGGCATGGGCTGTCCGGGGACTCCCTTCCCTGGGACGAAGAGGGTTTTTTTTTTTTTTTGCTTTGTTTTCCCTCCTTTGTTTGTTTGTTTTGGTGCTGTGCTATGTTTTGCTTTGTTTTTCCTCCAATTTAAATTTTAGTTTATTTTATAAATTTAAGTTTATTTTATCATTGTGTGTGTGTGCAAGTGGGTTTTTGTCTGAAAGAACTGGGTGAGTGAGAGGAACTGCAGGACAGACAAGGCAGGGGACCAAGGTAAGCTCTCAGAAGGGATCCCAATGGCAGACCAGGAGATAGCTTTGGCGGTAGTCACGAGTGTTGCTGTCCACTGCGACAGCTGCAACATATTCGACCTTCTCCCCCAGGAGAGGCAGGGTTACACTTGCCCTCGGTGCAAGCTGGTGACCCTGCTAGAGGAGGAGGTGAGGTGCCTGAGGGCCGAGAGAGCTCTCCAGGCCCCCCAGGAGCAGCCCCTCTCTGGACAGAGGGTTGAGGGAGAGGCCACGGGAGGAGCAGCCGCAGAGACATGGAGGCATGTCACCCACAGGAGGAGGAGGCCAGCATGGCCTCCTCCTTCTTCTGGCACCAATCTGGAGCTGGGAAACAGGTTCTCTCCACTTGGGGAGGCTGGGGCTGATGAGGCCTCGGGGGACCAGGAGGACCCCCAGCCTGGGATGACAAGTGACAAGGGGGCCGCTGCAGGAGAGGCAAGGGGCAGGGCACGGCCACCCACCACCACCAGGAAGACACAGCGGCGGGTGATTGTTGTTGGGGACTCCCTGCTGAGGGGCACTGAGGCGGCGGTGTGCCGCCCCAACCTGGAGACAAGGGAGGTTTGCTGCCTGCCGGGCACATGCATCCGGCATGTGAAGGACAGAGTGGAGTGTCTTGTTCACTCCGGGGGCCACCAGCCGCTCCTGGTGATCCATGTGGGCACAAACGATGTGGTCAGGTGACAGTGGGGGAAACATCCTTGACTTGGTCTTGACCAATACGGAGGAGCTGATAGATGAAGTACAGATAAGGGGAGCTCTGGATGCCAGTAATCACTCCATCCTTTGCTTTGAGATCAGGGGACTGGGGACATGCAGCAGGTCGAGCACTAGAAGCTGGGACTTCAACAGGGCCAACTTTGGCCAACTGAAGGCCAGATTGGGGAAAGTCTCCTGGGATAGGTTACTGGAAGGTAAGTGAGCTGAGGAAGGGTGGATGGCACTCAAAAGGGAGGCTTTGGAGGCGCAAGCCTTGACAATACCTCTAGTTAGTAAGGTGGGGAGGCGGAGGAGAGTGCCGCCATGGATGCGAAAGGAGGTGGTTAGAGGGATTAGACACAAGAGGAACCTCTGTAGGAAATGGGTACTGGGGCAAACAGACAAAAGGGTGTACCGGGAGGAGGAGGCCCGTTGCAGAAGGATTCTTTACAAGGCTAAGGTTGATTACAAGCTGAGACTTGCCAAGAATACCAAGAGCAACAAAAAGGGCTTCTTTCAGCATGTAAATAGAAAGGGGAGACAAGTGGTGGGACCACTAAATAAGGAGGAAGGAGATCCAGTGACTGATATGAGGGAACAGGCACAGATGCTAAATGACTATTTTACCTCTGTGTTCTCCCCAAAGCAGGACGGGGGCTATCCGCATAGGAGATTAGATGAGGCTGGAGACGTAGGGGCCCAGATTAGAGTCACCCCCCTTGAAGTCAAGGGGCTCCTCAGGGCATTGGACATTACAAAGGCGCCAGGCCCTGATGGGTTACACCCGAGAGAACTTAGAGAGTTGGCAGGGGTTCTCTCATGCCTGCTGGCCTTCATTTTTGAGGCCTCGTGGAGAACGGGTGAAGTTCCAGAGGACTGGAGGGTGGCATCAGTGGTCCCAATTTTCAAAAAGGGTAGTAGAAAGGATATGGGGAATTACAGACCAGTTAGCCTTATGTCCACTGTAGGAAAAACAATGGAAAGGCTCATAATAGAGAGAGATCTAGTGATGCTAGATAGGGAAGGGAGGCTGACAGCCACACAACACGGCTTCTGCAAAAACAGGTCACGCCAGACAAACCTTGTGGAATTCTATGACAGGTTTCGAGATGGCTAGATGGACGGGATGCAGTGGATGTGGTATACCTGGATTTGAGCAAGGCCTTTGACAAAGTGCCCCATGATATCCTGGTGGAGAAACTGAGGAATTTTGGGATACACCAAAGCACTGTCCAGTGGATTAGGGCATGGTTGACAGACTGAAAGCAGAAGGTAACCATTAGTGGGGAATCATCAGGATGGTGGCCAGTGACAAGCAGGGTCCCCCAGGGCTCTGTCCTGGGGCCGATCCTGTTTAATCTTTTCATTAACGACATGGAAGAAGGGGTGAACAGTCTGCTGATCAAATTTGCAGACGACACTAAAACTGGAGCAGTGGCCACAACTGAGGAGCAGGTACTCCAGATCCAAAAGGATCTGGACAGACTATGGAAGTGGGCAGGAGACAACAGGATGGCGTTCAATGTGGATAAGTGCAACGTCTTGCACTTGGGGCATAGGAATGGGTGTCATAAGTACAGGTTAGGTGACAAGTGGCTGGAGAGCAGCACTTGTGAAAGGGACCTCGGGGTACTGGTTGACTGCAGGCTAAACATGAGTCAGCAGTGTGATGCGGTGGTCAAGAGGGCGAACACCATCCTTGGTTGCATATCCAGAAGTGTGGCTCCTAGATCAAGAGAGGTATTACTACCACTCTATACGACTCTGGTGCACCCGCAACTGGAGTACTGTGCTCAGTTTTGGGCCCCTCATTACAGAAAGGATATAGCCAGGTTAGAGTCAGTGCAGCGTAGGGCTACAAGGTTGGTGGCAGGTTTGCAGGGGATGGGGTATGAGGCGAGACTGAGGGAACTGGGTCTCTTCAGCCTGGAGAAGATATGTTGGCAACATACAGGTATGTGAGGGGATGTCACATGGATATGGATAGAGACCTGTTCTCCCCTGCAGAGGAAGGCAGGACGCGCTCCAACGGAGCAAAGCTCAGGGAGCCAAGGTTCCATTTAGATGCCAGGAAGCACTTCCTGACAGTTAGGACCCTGAGGGTGTGGAATGGGCTTCCACAAGAGGTGGTTGAGGCTCCATCGGTGTGGGTGTTCAAAGATAGGCTGGACATGCACATGGTGGGCATGTCGTGAGCGGAGCCGGCTGGTGCCGGAGTCAGACTAGATGGCCTGGTAGGCCCCTTCTGACTCTCTATGTTTCTATGTTTCTACTTGGGCCAACTCAGCCTTGATATCAGAATACAGGCCATTTTGAAAATGAAATCACTGACCTGCCCCATTCCACAGCTTATCTCCCACAAGCAAAACCCACCAGCATTTTCTGCAACAGATAAACCTGCTTCATGGTCTGGAGTGGCAATACTGCCATGTGTGCATGGTTTACAAGCCAACATGCCCTTCAGGGCTCAAATAAACTCATGTAGGTTCCAGAAGAGGGAACTGCCTTCTTCCAATAACAGTTAGGCCTATGCCAGGTAGCATTAGAAAACAAACTGGCCACTAGATACAGCAGACTATGTTGCCTATGACAGTCCTCTGCACCCATCTGGAACAACAGCTGACATTGGTTAATAAAATCCTTAAATTCTTCTGATCTCCAGTGAATCATTCTGCTAGAGCCTTTTGGTGAGACAGGGACGCTGAGACAATGGTTGCAGAAGCAGCATATAAAATATTCAAATACAGTATTCAGAATGTAGAGATTATACTTGGGCCTGCAAGGAATGCAGAACATTTGACAATTCCCCATCCATTCTGTTCCATGGTAGGGACACAGATTTTGGCTTCACAAAGTGTCAGCTCTGAGACATAAGTGGCAGGTGTCTATGACTGGAACAGCAAGACTACCAATGATGGAGGTGAATTTAGAACTTGGCAAGACATAGTAGGACCAGAGGAAAAGGCAGAGTCAGGAAAAAGTGAAGGTCAGATACCCAGGGCAAAACACAAATGAAGACAATGCAGAGGCAGAA